TGTGGTAGCACGCGCCTGTAGTTCCAGCTACTTGGAAGGCTGAGGCAGAAGGATAGACAGAGCCCAGCAGGTCAAGGCTGTGGTGGCTGGGAGCAGCCACTGCACTCCAGTCTGGGTGACAGAGTGAGACTCCAACTCAATAAATAAATAAATAAAGTATACATGTATTATGACACAAACATTGGCAATATCAAAGTAACATGGTTCATTTCAATTATTGTACTGGTTCAAAGTTTAAATGAGGTACCAGTTAAGTGACTGATATCTGGATAGTCAATGATTGGCAAAATAAGTATTTAAACCAAATACTTACATTGTGACTGTGACAAAATCCAATTCCATTAATGATCTGAAACAAATGCTTTTGAACAACTTCGTATTCTAGTCCATTTGGAAAGAGCTCCAAGTCATCAAGAATTGTGTGGTCAACAAATTCAAAGACTAAGTACCATCGTTTTTTTTTCTTACACACTTCCAGCAGATTCACCAAATTTTCATGTCTTAGTTGCTATTGTTTTAAAAAACACAAAATAGTTTTTACAAAATCAAATGATTAGCAATTAGCCATAATTTAAAGTAAATCTTAGCATAAGGAAAATATATCAATAAAATGCATATACAGTGTAAATTGCACAGGCATATTTTAGTTTTTAAATTACAATTGAAAAACATATTGCTCCTTTCTCCTCTCAGAGAACACAATGAAGCTGATGAGAAAAAGAAACGTAGAGGTTGGGAGTGGTGGCTCATGCTTGTAATCCCAGCACTTTGGAAGGTAGAGGCGAGAGACTGCCTGAGTCCAGGGGTTTGAGACCAGCCTGGGCAAATTGGCGAGACCTCGTCTCTACAATCAATCAAAAAATTAGCCAGGTGTGGTAGCATACACCGGTAGTTCCAGCTACTTGGAAGGCTGAAGCAGAAGGATCACCTGAGTCCAGCAGGTCAAGGCTGCGGTGACTATGAGCATGCCACTGCCCTCCAGACTGGGCAACAAAGAGTGTGACCCCAAATCAAAAAAAAAAAACAAAAAATAAATAAATAAATAAAATCAGATGGTAGATGATTAGAAGAAAGAAGGAAACAGAAATATAATAAGAACTTTACAAAGGAGTAAATATGTTATATGTTATAGTTATAAAGGTAACCAATAGCACAAAAGTAAAATCTTTCCACCAGTGCCACTGTGGACCACTATTGCCCTGCACACCCAACACAACATACATCCTGAATAATTTCCAAATTCTGTGTTGCTAAACACTGTTTCTCTATTTGATGCCTTCATGATTCAAAGTCCCAGGTGGAGCGTTCCATTGGCTCAACTTGAGTCACAGAGGCTGGCTATGAGAGGACGGAAAGAGAGGATCTCTGTCTTTGGGTTCTGTGTTGGGGGGCAAGACATGGGATCTCACCACTACTCCATGCAATGCGGAAAGTACTTACACAAAGTAGGAAGGGCTATGGTTTTTCTATACAGACAAAAAAAAGTGACAAAGGTTCATTTCACATTACAACTGGACATACAGGAATTTCTTTAGGTCATTTTTTCATTCATTGGGCTTTTGTTCTGTCTCTAGTATCCAGAACACTCTCCCAGATCTTTACATGGCTGGCTCCTTTCTGTTATTCGGGTCCCAGCATCACGTCACCTCCTCAGTCACTCATCTTAGCACTATAAACGACAGTACTGTCTTTGCCTATTAACTTCCTAGAATATATCCCTATCTGATAGTATGTTGTTTGTTTTATTTTTTATTTTTTGAGTAGGAGTCCCACTCTGTCGCCCAGGCTGGAGTGCAGTGGCATGCTCACAGCCACCACAACCTCAACATCCTGGGCTCAGGCAACCCTTCCACCTCAGCCTTCCAAGTAGCTGGAAGTACAGGCTCATGCCACCACACCTTGGCTAATTTTTTTTATTTATTGCAGAGACAAGATCTTGCCAAGTTGCCCAAGCTGGTCTCAAAACCTTGAGCTCAGGCAATCTTCTCATCTCTGCCTCCCAAAGTGCTGGGATGACAGGTGTGAGCCACCACACCTAGTATATACTGTTTATTTTTTTATTTTTATTTTTTGAGTTGAAGCCTCACTCTGTTGTCCAGGCTGGAGTGCAATGGCATGCTCTTGGTCACCGCAGCCTCAACTTGCTGAGCTCAGGTGATCCCTCTGCCTCAGCCTTCCAAGTAGCTGCAACTACAGGCACGTGCCACCATGCCTGGCTAATTTTTTGAGTTATTGTAGAGATGAGGTTGCCCAGGCTGGTCTTGAACCTGGGCTAAGTTGCCCAGGCTGGTCTTGAACCTGTGTGCTCAGGCAGTTCTCCCATTTTGGCCTCCCAAAGTGTTGGGCTTATAGGGGTGAGCCACTGCACCCAGCATATACTGTTTATTTTTTTAAACTGTCTTTCTTCTGCCATTTAAATAAAACTCACTCCTATACTCCCAACAGTTAGAAGAATTCCAGGCACATATTGCGTGCTCAATAAATATTTATTGATTTTTTTTCATTACTCATTCAGCAATTGAACTCCAGTTCAATTGAACTCCAACTACAGTTATTGAACTCCAACTACAGGCAAAGTGTTGACTTTAAGGCTAAGGATACCAAGACGGAAAGGCATAGGTCAGGCTCGGTGGCTCGCCTGTAATCTCAACACTTTGGGAGGCTGAGGCGAGAGGTTTGCCTGAGTCCATGGGTTCAAGATCCACTCGGGCAACTTGTCAAGACCTCATTTATATAATAAATCAAAAATTAGCCAGGTGTGGTAGCGTGCGCCTGTAGTTCTGGCTACTTGGAAGACTGAAGCGGAAGGATCACCGGAGCCCAGCAGGTGGAGGCTGCGGTGGCCGGGAGAGTGCTACTGCACTCCAGTCTGGGCGACAGAGTGAGACTCCAACTCAAAAGAAAAGAAAGGAAAAGAAAAGAAGAGAAGAGAAAAGAAAAGGCACATACAGTCTATCCCCCAAGAAGGTATCAGTCTGGGTAGAAAAGATATTTAGAGAAAACATTTCATAGAAGAATAGATATATGCTGAAAACAAACTCCTACTTATTTATCTGAAATAAACATTGACAACTGAAGAAGCATATTTTAGACAAAACATTATTTGAACTTTTGAAATTTTAATTTAATGAGTTGTTACTATAATTAATTGGGGAAGACAATCTCATTTTCTGTTTATTATTATTAATTTTTTTTAGAGATGGGATCTGGTATCTTTCCAGGCTGGAGTGCAGTGACTATTCACAGGCATGATCAGGAACTCCTGGCCTCAAGCCATCCTCTTGTCTCCTGAGTAGGTAGGACTATATAGGTACACACCATGGTACCTAGCTCACAAACCCATTTTCTATCATCTGATGATAGGAACACATCTCCCACTGAAAACAAGAAGGGAGGAAACTGAATAAGAGCAAAATTCCAACCAATAGGCAGCCATGGCATTTCTCTTTCCACATGAAAGTGTACTGAGATGGTCCCGAAATGTTATCACAAGATAAATCATATCTAAAACTCATAGCCAATTAAAGACCTTAGTAGGGTTTTGAAATTGGCTTATTTTTAGAGAAAGTAAATCTCTTTTTCTACATGATATAAAAGTGTAGTGTTTCCCACTCCAAAAGATAAAAGTTTAAAGTTTAAAAGATTATATGAAAAAGCTAAATTGAATGTGAGATTATAGAAAAAGTTACTCATAATAGATCACACAGTTCACTAATAAAACAAAATACCTTCATTTCACAAATCTCCTATTCCAACAGAACTAACATTTCTGACAAATTCTATTTTAGCAAATTAAGAAAGTTAAATCACAATAGAATGTCAACTGTTCAATTAAGATGATTTTGACGGGCTGGGTGCAATGGCTCACGCCTGTAATCCCAGCACTTTGGGAGGCCAAGGTGAGAGGACTGCTTGAGCCTAGAAGTTTGAGAACAGCCTAGGCAATATAGCGAGGCCTCATCTCTACCCAAAAGAAAACAAAAAAGAAATCAAAAAATTAGCTGGACATGGTGGCATGCACCTGTAGTGCCAGCTCCTTGGCAGGCTGAGATGGGAAGATCACTTGAGCTCAGGAGGTCCAGGCTATGGTGAGCCATGATCATGCCACTGACTCCAGCCTGGGTGACAGAGTGAGAACTTGACTCAAATAAATAAATAAATAAATAATTTAAAAATTTAAAAAAGCTGATTTTGATTTTTGTGGTTTCAAGGGGTTAAACGTTTTGGAAAAGTCAAAGTCCAAAAGCCTTCTAAAGGTGAATTGTCTGAGAACCTACCTCCAATTTAAGCTGGGACCCAAAAATATACCCTCTAGAGTGAAAATTGACAGAAATAAACTAGGCATCACTAGACTTAACATCACATATAATGGTTTAGGGAATCTCAAACCTTGAACTTGGATTAACATACTACCCTGTGTACATCCCCATGCACCTAACAGAAGCAAATGAGTAGCATTTCTGATACTCATTTGATATTTTAGCCTCAAACCATTTCTACAAATTTTCAGAAATAATATTCAACATGAAAAGAGAACGAGAAACACAAGAAAACAAAACACCATAAGCACAAACTCTAAACTTACTAAGGAGGTCCTGGGCTGGGAGCATGCCTGTATCAGGCAGAAGCTAGAACTGGGAAAATTTAAATATAAATATTGTTAATTAGCAAATATAGTTAGTTACTAAAAGGAGTAAAAGAGGACTCTAAGATATTTTTAAATAGCAAATACAGAGTAGCTACTACTTTAGGGCTGAGAAAAAGTACACAAGAGGGAACTAAAAATTTAGAAGAGCCCCAACCACCACCAAGAATTTATTCTTCATTGAAAAGGGCATGATTGCACATAGAAAGGTACAGATTATCAGTGGTGAAGAAACTCGCCAGAGGACTCAGGCCAGAGATGGTCCGTAGCATGGCCAGCAGTTGGCAAAGAAACATAACCAGAAAGTACAGATGGGCAACAGAGTACAACCACAAAAGTTGCTGAAGTGAGCTACCGGACCTCCCACATGGTGGTGTGCTCGCAGCTACACCAACAAAAAGCAAACCAGAACCTGTCTTACTAAGAAACTTCAGTGGCGTTCCATGCCTTCTCTCTATCAGCAAAACCTAAAATCAAACCAGCTGGCAAAGAAGAAATGTTATGGAGTCCAGCTCCAACATCACAAGGCAAGTCTAAAGGAGTGGTTGGGAGCTGAGAGGCAATAAGTTGATTACTAGCATAGTGACCACGAACATGGAAGAAGAAAATACAAATTGTCTCTGGAGGAAAATATCTTCACCTTAACCTCAAATTATTCCTAAAAACTAATATTTAAAATATAACATCCAGCAAAGGTAAGCAGGCATACAAAGAAATAAGACACCTTAAGTAAGAAATATCAGAAAATACAGGCCACTGAAACAAATGCAAAATGACTTCAGATATTATAATAATTAGATATAGATTACTATGCTTAAAAAAAATCTAACCTCAAAAAGTTGAGGGAACTTGAAACTATAAAA